AGTGCTAGGATTACAGGCGTGAGCCACCTCGCCCGGCCTTCACAACATTTCTTTATATGAGTAAAAACATACTGAGTTACAAAGGTCACAAAGCTCCTAATTGTTTAAACTTACAGTCATTCTTAGTTTCAGTGTCTCGAAGCTGCTTTTCAAGGATATTCAACTGTGAGAGAAGCTCTTGCTGTTGTTTGGTCCAATCAGTTCTTTCTGATGCGAAAAGCTTTGAGAAAGAGATACATTTACTGGAAAAGGAATTCTAGCATGCTAAGATGTGCTCCAAATCATTAATTTGTTTGTTTTTAAAGTCTATTTTTAAGGTGTCTTAAAATTGGCCATCCCCATGAATTATACTGAAGATGATCAACAAAGTAAAGGATCACTGCAAGAACATAGACTGCCATCTTGCTTTCTTCTAAACACATAGCAAGGGATCCATTTGCACTACAGACTAAGTGGGCCAGAATTCAAACTACGCATGTCTGCCTCATTATCAGAGAAATATGCTAAGTAATAAAGTAGAGAATACAACTCAAGTAAGCCTTGACTAAGTCTGTGTGAAGACATTTTCCTCCTTTAATACTCTTACTTTGAGGATATGTTTCACACATTTTCTGAGGCCATGCTCTCTCGGTCTTACCTCCTGCACTTGGGTAGAATGATGTTCCAGTTTGTCAACATGCTGCTGAAGCTTCAGGTTTTTGTGCTCTTCTTCATCCAACTTAACTTGAAGAGCACTCATTTGTTCCTGCAACACAAAAACAGTCGTCAAAAATTCTTTTAATGGAATTCCCAAATATTCCACCATTTTTTTCATATTAAAGAGACAAACAAAACAAAACAAACTCAAAACTTCATATGAACAAAGGTATCGAAGGCCTGTTTAGAGCCAGAAAACAATGTCAAAAGGCTATATACTAATGATTTCTCATGTTTTAGAATTATACTTGTGGTCCATCAAAGGAGATCATTTGAAACACAAAGGAAAGAAATGCTTAAAATTAAAATCTTAGATTAAATCATAGAGCCCCCTTAAAACTTCTAAGAAGCTTCCTCAGGGCTGCATGGGATCACCTCACCAGAAAGACCTCCAGGGCCTGGAAAAGGCAAATTATTGAATTTGGGATGGTCTGGCCCACTCCAAGGTTTACTGGACAGTAGAAAACCTTTTTTGAAAAATTACCAAACCATGAGAATTATGAGACATTCAAATTTCACATTATTGCAAATACACTAAAAGCTGTCTAAAATTTGATCTGTAATAAAATTGTTCTAACTTTCTTTAGCAAATACAGCACTGTGCCATATAAACCAGTTATGGAATTTGAAGCTAGTAGCAAACTGGTCATTTCACCAGAGGAACCAAAGCCCTTGGAAACTAGAGAATGACTTGCTAAAGACAGCAAAGCAAATAAAAAAACAAGAGGAGGCTGATTTCCAAGCCAGAGATGTTTACACACTCACACTTAAAAAGATAAGATTTTAATATTAAGCAGGTTTGAACTCTATAGGAATTAAAATGATAAACAAAGCAAATTTATTTAAATAAACGTCCGATTTATTTTTTCTAGAACTAAAAATTACCTGCAGTGTTCTAAGCTCTTCGGAAATGGCCTCAAAAGCTTGTTCATTCATCTCAGGTGGAACTGGCTCATTTAATATATCATTATCTAATAAGCTAGAATTCTGAGTATGTAGAGAGCCAAAGCTCCCCGTTTCAGGGCTTAATTTTGGTACTAGTCGAGAACGAAGTTGATAAGCCTTGGTTGGTGTAGTTATAATCTGCATCAAAAAATGATTATGGAAAACAACATTAGCACACATGAAAAAAAAGATCATAGTTAGTAATTTTGTGAACAGAGAGTATAAAACTGGAATTTCTATTCATCAAAAGGAGAAAGTGCCCTTGATAAACAGCACAGAAATGTCCCAAGTGGAAATGAATTTATCAGCTCAGTGCAGTCCCAAGCAAAATTCTAATACGATTTTAAAAAATGAAACTTGATAAGCTGATATCCAACTTCATACAAAGAATAAATGTACAAGATGCCAGACAATTAAAAAGACAGCAAAATAAGGAAACTTCTCCATCTGATATAAAAATACATTATAAGGGTATGGTAATTAAGACAGTACATTATTAGCATATATGTGGTTAAATAGAACATTGTAAAAAAATACAAAATCCAGAAATAGATGATTTATGCATGGAAATTTCAAATTAGTGAGAAGAACATAGAATATATTTTAAAAAGTTAAATCCCTTTCTCATACTATTCAAAAATAAAATAGCAGATGCATAAACACTTCAATGTAAAAAACAAAATCAAAGGCATGAAAGTCACAAAGACAAAGATCAGTAAGCCTGGCTACATCAAAATTTTAAAACTTCTATATAACAAAAGCATCACATGCAAAGATGAAAGACAAGCAACTTGATGGAAGGGTATCTTGCCAATATACATAACAAAAGATTAATACATAAAAACTCCTACAGCCAGGCGCGGTGGCTCACGCCTGTAATCCTAGCACTCTGGGAGGCCGAGGC